CTACTAAATCTAGTATTCTAAGTGTACTTTACTGCCGTTGAGTGGTTCGTTGACACCAGCGTTTTGGGTATCAATACACTGGTGATTGAGATCACTCTATCCTGGGAGGACATATTCCAAATCAAACCTCGAATACTAGAGGGAAATAATTTCCTTAAGGGGACACTGTGCATTCAGTGGGCTTGATCTTCTTTCTGTTTTTCCAAATTCTGTTCTTCAAAGTTTTGTTCTAAGTATCTTAAGAATACAAGATGTTCAACACTAATTAGATACAGTGTATCTAAAACAAATTACACACCCTATGTATCCCGAGATACATGCATGGGCGGCTCTATGCTTTGAAAAATAAGGCCTTTGCCTTAGTCCCCCAAATTTCGGGGGCCCCAATTTTTTGTCAAGAATGAATTATGTGTTAATTTTTTTATAGAAAAATTAATTATTTATGATAAAAAAAAATATTATTTTAAAATAAATTATTTTATCCACTTTAACATCTTTTGTACTTTGTTAAAAATAAGAATTAATAGTGAAAAGTGTTGAACAAAGTAAATTACAAATTCTTTTTATTTCTTTTAAATTTTAGTTTCAAGCATTACTATAAGTATATTAAAATGCGGTATACCAAGTCATCAACTTCTTGAGTCAAATTTTATGGATCTAACTCTTACCTTTATTTAATATTTATCAACTTATTACTTATAGCATTATGTTAACAATACATATAATAATTGCCTCACTTAAAGGATGTTTTTCAATGTTGAGTTGATAAAATCTTACCTAAAACTAGTAACTGAAAAAACAATATTAAGTACTAATAATTTTCATCTAAATAGTATAAAAAAAAACTATGAATAAATACGTATATGAAGTGTATTTATATTTTAGACCACGAATTAAAATTTTACTTTAGGCCCCCAATTACGTTGAGCCGCCCCTGGATACATGTATCTTGACGTATTAAGATGCACCAAAATATGGTAAGATTCATAATATTACAACTAGAATGTATCTCAATAATTAACTCCTAAACTAGTAAAATTTCGATATATTTCCGATCCCAATTTTTTTAAACTTACTTTCTTGCCCAATAATACTTGCCCAAAAAGATTATTAGTTAGAATAGAAGCAATCACAATAGGACAAGGATAGGAGGCAATTATATAAATGTTCTTCTTGTCTGAAAAGATAAGTTAGAACTTAAAATAAAACCAATCATAATAGGACAACTACAAGATATTAAATAACTACAGTATTTAGATTTAGATGTTGAAACTTTGACTACTCTATTTTAATATATTTAAATGGTATTTTTAGGTGATTGATTTAACAAAGAGAATTGTTTGTACTTTATTTTGAATATTTCTACTAGTGTAAGATATTAGTATGATATAATTGAAATATTTATTGAAAAGTTAAAGTCATGATCTTTAATTATACGTATATGTAAGTCGAAGGTGACCAAACTATGATCACCACTTTACCATTCAGTAAAATATCAAAAATCTAACTCTTAAATAATACCAAATTAATTTAATATAATAATGATACAATATTTTTTTAAATCGTAAACTAAAATTATCGAACCGAATTTTTCAATAGCGTACCAGGCATAGTACCCCTATGATTGATAATAGATAGGAGTTGTTAAATAATGCACGAAAATAAATTGAAGAAGAAATACGTGGGATCTCCTAGGCCATAGCCTACTAAAATTCAAGAACCATTAAATATTGAATCTCTTTCAACAAAAAATTATATATATCGATAAAAAAATCTTAACCGTTTCATATATTAAAAAAAAAGAGTGAAGCAGTATCTTACCACCTTAACTTTACACTGCATATATTTTTTAAAAACCGTAAACTAAAATTATCGAATCGAATTAGAAAGATGGGTAGATTTTGTGATGAAAATGTATATATAAATGATAGACTTAACCCCTTAACTAGGATCAAGAGGTTAGGCAACATTTCCCTCCCCACCCTCCTTATTTTTTTTAGGGATAATTATGAATTTGAATTATTCAGTTATTTAGTTTATATAATATATACAAAATATATAAATAGTATATATGCTTTATACTAAAAGTACATATATTAGACATATAATATAAACTAATAGTATATATTGTGTATACTTTTGTTATATTAAAAACTAGATATATAGTCGATTAATATATATTGATAACTATTCAAAATTTACATGTTCACACATTATTTATAGATCGGTAGAATCTGTCATACCTCCTCCACCACAAAGAGACTTTTGATGAGAGAAATATCATTTTTAGAAAAAGGACCCTTCTACAACATTGGTAGGTAATTTGGCCGAACAATCTACGACTTGATTAGTCTTATTGAAATAATGTGAGGTTGAATTAAATATCACTAGTGTTATTAGTGTCCTATAAATAGCTATATGGCTTATGAATTCTGATTTTTTGAAAATAATAATTTTATATTGAGTTCTAAATGAATTATTGATACAATATAATATGTCAAGTCAACTTTTATATATGGGTCTTGACTAGTGTTTTAAAAAACTCTTCTGGGATTCGCCTCGGGGCTCACCCTGGGGCGGGCTCTAGTAAAACGTTCTGAGACTCAAGTGTGGGACTTAGTTCTGCAAGACTTACGCTCTAAGCGCCCGACTGTATGCCCTAAGCACGATCAACGACCAACGCTTGGGACTCGCCTAGCATATCTTACACAAATTATGTATTAAAATTTTTAATTAACATTGTTGACCCTCATAATTCTTGAATAAATGAATGATACGTAATAATTTTTTAATCTATAGAGATAAGAAGATTGAGAGTAACTCAAACAAAGTGTATTTATTTTCATTTTTTCCTTAAAATTGATTCTTTTTAAAGTATAAATATCATAAAGTTTCTCCATTGTTAATCTTTTAAGAGTAAATTAATTAAAATGCCCTTCTTTCCTTTTTATAATTTTTTTAGTTGGCATGTAAAATGGAAAATGAACCACTAATATAGAACCTAGGACTAGTATATATATATATATAGTAACTAATATTGTTATATCATTTGCATGTAAATCCTCTTGAAATAAATACTAATACAATTTCTTAGTAAAAAAGCAAATATCTCGTATAAAGATGATAAAAAGTTTGTGTTCCAATTTGCCGCCATCGGCGAAAATAGTCACTATCGAGGAGCTTAGTAGGGCACAACGGGCCGAGGGACCTGCTAATGTGTTGGCCATCGGAACAGCCAATCCTTCTAATTGTATCGATCAAAGCACCTATCCTGACTATTTTTTTCGTATCACTAATAGTGAACATAAGAGTGAACTTAAGCGAAAGTTTAAGCAAATGTGTAAGTTTAATCTTTTTGTTATCTTGATTTGCACAATTCCAATAATTCAAAATGTTTTCTTGTGAAACTGCCTAAAAAAAGGGAATTGATCAAGGAGACGAAAAGCTGATTATGTTTTATTCTCTTCTTTTAATTTATAAAATATATTCAGTTAGGGGCTATATGCAAATTATTTTAAAATAATTTAACTATGCATTTATTTAATGTCAATATTTTTTTTTATTTTCATCTAATTTCTCCATTTATCAACATATTGAAACCAAACTTAAGAAAATACATGCACTGAAAAATCTCTTAAGTGAAGAAACAAAGGGTTGAAGATCTTGAGTTTTTGCTTTGGCTAATTGTTGTTCTTTGTTTTTGAGATTAATTATAATGTTAAAATTATCTTTTTTATTTATATACTAATATTTGATTTTATTTTTTTATTTCTTCGTGTTGAAACTCAAATTATGTTTTAATTGATGTTGGTTTGCATTTGTGATCATATGTTGTAGGTGCTAAATCAATGATTAAGAAGAGATACTCACACTTAACCGAGGAAATCTTGAAAAAGAATCCTAACATTTGTAAATATAATGCACCTTCTCTTGATGCTAGACAAGAAATAACAATTATTGAGGTTCCAAAACTTGGCCAAGAGGCAGCCCAAAAGGCTATCAATGAATGGGGCCAGCCCATATCTAAGATTACCCATTTGATCTTTTGCACCACTAGTGATGTGAACATGCCAGGAGCTGACTACCAACTCACTAAACTTCTTGGGCTTGATTCATCAGTTAAGCGATTCATGTTGTACCAACAAGGTTGTTCTGGTGGTGGAACTGCTCTTCGATTGGCTAAGGACTTAGCTGAGAATAATAAAGGTGCTCGAGTTCTTGTTGTTTGCTCTGAATTAATCAACTTGATGGGCTTTCAGGGCCCAAGTGACACTAAATTAAGTGTTTTGGTTGGACAAGCTCTTTTTAGTGATGGGGCATCCGCTGTTATTATTGGATCAAATCCAATTATATCAATAGAAAGACCTTTATTTGAACTTGTATCCACAATTCAAACTCTTATTCCTGATAGTGGATATGCAGGTTATTCTAATCTAAGTGAGGCAGGATTGATAACCTATATACATAAGGATATTCCAATGCTAGTAGCAAAAAATATTGAGAAGATCTTAGTGGAAGTATTTCAGCCTCTTGGAATTTCTAATTGGGATTCCATTTTTTGGGTAGCTCATCCAGGTGGACGCGCGATTTTGGATCAAATTGAACTAAAATTGGGCCTAAAATCTAAAAAACTCGAAACTACAAGGCATGTGTTGAGCGACTATGGGAACATGAGCAGTGCTACTGTATTATTTGTTTTGGATGAGATGAGGAAAACTTCTATCAAGGAAGGATTGTGTAGCACGGGTGAAGGCCTTGAGTGGGGTGTGCTTTGTTGTTTTGGGCCTGGCTTAACTATTGAGACGATTGTCCTTCGTAGCATTTCTATTTAAGTCTGAAGACGAGCATATGATATGACTTGAACTACATTCTTACTTCACGTCTTTTGAGAGCAATTTTCATTTGCTATTATATATTTGTCATTTCTACTTCACAATAAGAAATAATGATACTCTTGACTAAATAAATCAAATAACTCACTTTATTTCTTGCTCCCTTTTATCTTTCTAGAGGTCGAAATAATGTTTTTCATTCTTGAGTACTTATTGCTTTATAAATAAAAATTCTAGTCGATGTATTGCTCAATAAAATATAGTTTTAAATCTTAAATTCAAAAATAAGATCGGTCCAAATATGCTTCGAACCATATGAAAGTTGAAACAACCGTAAAGAGTTACAAATATTCTCTCCAACTCAATTTATTTAACAATTATAACTTCTCAAAAAGTAATTTGACTTCTTAATTAATTAATGGAGCGAACCCTAACTTAATTAACTTATTTTCTCTTTTGAATTAAAATATGTATATTTAAAATAAAAATACACCAAAAGTATGTATTTCACAATTTAAATCTTATCAAAATTGTGAAATAATACATTTTTATAAAAAAATAATTTCTTTCTCGACAAAATTGAATTTTTATAGCACATAAATTAGTCAAGAATATACATAAATTTCTATGAAGTTTCAGATATTGTGGCATGTTCCATACAAGAGAATTTAATGGGATCCATATGTAGGAATGGGAAATTAATAATCTACCTAGGTTTTGGTGCTTGACCACTTTATCGTATTGAACCAAATACAAAAATAAAAAGATTAACATAAAAGTACTTCTCTATCTCAAAATGCCTCATATTTTTTACTACTCGTTCTTTGAAAAAATATTAGCTAAAAGGAGTATTTGATATTTTATTTTTATTTATATCATAAGATATAATTTTTTCAATGAATATTTACTATTCTGGTGTTATAATTAAGATATTTATAATTTTTCAAAAGTAATTATTATTAAAAATAAAAAATAATAAAAACTATTTTCAACTTTTAATAGGGTAAATATTTTGAGACAGATATTTTAAATAAGAACAACCTGTATTTTGGAACGAAAAGAATATATAACAATAAATCACTAATAAATTTAGTTACTCTCCCCGCGTTAATGATAGAAATTGTCGGCGTAGTTTATGTATATTTTTATTATTATCTTATTAATGGTCCAAAAGATAAAATAAATTAATTTGTAGTACATGTTGACCAAATTATTGTTTCATTTATCTAAAGGACAAAATTGAGCTTTAACGTTGACTTCGAATAAATAAAAAGAATCTTTTTGCATAATTTAATGCGATATAATTGATTAATATACCATAGAAGATATTCAAAGATTTTCTTACACTAATTTATACAAAATTATTGATTTTTTATAAAGATTTTATCTTCAAGATATTCTTACATTAAAAATGAAAATAGCATTGGTCTCGGAGTTTTGATCTACTGATAAAAATGCAACAAATATTATATGTGCGTTAGATTTATGTTATGACTTATGAGTTCGAACCTTATTGATATATTGCTTGCAAATAACAATTTAATATTTAGCTAGAGAAGAATAGAGGGATGATTTCATTATTATTTATCGATTTTAGAAGTATATATAATACATATATTATTGATCTTCAAAGATTTTTTCTTTATTATAAAAAATATGAAAAATAGAGTAGGTAAACTTCACCTTATGACCATGATGATTAAATTTCTTATTTTTGAATTATGATATGATGATGAGGGGAAGAATGGTCATCACGTTGCATATTTCTTATTTAGTTCAATTGCCTAAAATAATTCACCAACACCAAATAACTAAAAAAGGGATATCTAAAATAACAATATCATTATAAATGAGGTTGGGAGAAGATAATGTGTACATAGTAGCCTGTATTTTTATTTTATGTACATGAAAATATTATTTATGATAGGTCGTCGGTTAAAAGGAATAAATATAATGTGTAGATAGATATTTTAACTTGATCTTAACTGACAATTAAATATTTTGAGAATGCACATTTAACACATCAACTCGTTTTTATTATGTTAGTTGAGCATTCCAACTTATAAAATAATTAGTTAGAACACCACTAAAATTTATGTGTCACGTCAGCATCAGTGTCTACAAACACCAATATTATGATTTAGAACAATGTCTATTGAACCCTCTTCAAATTCTATTAGTTCGCCCTCCATTACTTCATCGAAGTTGTGAATAAGAGCAATGCCTTCACATACATAATAAGAACGAATTGAGGTGTCTAGATGTGTACAAAGTATCTAAATGATCATTTAGACATCTTCAAAATTTATGTGTCATGTCAGCATCAAGTGTTTACCAATACCAACACCAACGTTATTTGATTCTGAATTCAAAACAATGACTATTATACCCTCTTTAAATTCAATTAATTCACTCGCCATTACTTCATCAAGGTCGTGAATATGAGCAATGTCATTGTAGATATAATAAGAACAAATTGAGGTGTCTAGATGTGTATGAAGTGTTTATTTAGACACTTTTAAAATTTATGTGTTACGTCAGCATCATATGTCCAACAACATTATATGATTCCAAATTTACAATGCCTATTGTACTATGTTCAAGTTCTATTAATTCACCCGCCATTATTTCATCAAGATTGTGAATACGAGCAATGTTATCGTAGACGCAGTTGAAACAAATTGAGGTGTCTAGACGTGCATGGTTTATTATAAGCAAAAAGAATTTTTAAAAAAATCAAAAAAAAAAACAGAAGATGACACCATTGCTAGCATCACCATCTGATTTCACTTCCTCTGAGTCCTCATGTACAATTTTTCCAAAAAAAAAAAAAACAACAACAAAGAAGCTGTCCCAATCTCAAAAGTCCATATGAATATTTTTCTGAAAAAGTGTATGTAAAATGCCTAGAAAGTTGACAGTTAGTGACCCTTTGAAGCACTCAAAAGCAACTTTTTAGAGAGAGAGACAAGATTCTTGAAACCATCTTTTCAATATTTTTCATCAATAAAGAAAAGGGTAGCAAAATCTTTACTTAAAAACATTACATTTGATTTCCCATGTTTCTTTTTGCTTGTTAAATACATAAAGTTTGAATCTTTTTACCCTTTTCACAAATTGTCCATATAGAAGGGAAGATCCCCACAATTCTTGGGAAAAAAGTAGGAGCTTTTAGTTTTATATATATAGAATTTTTCATCTATAAAGAAAAGGGTAGCAAAATCTTCACTTAGAAACATTACATTTGATTTCCCATGTTTTGTTTTGCTTGTTAGATACATAAAATTTGAATCTTTTTTACCCTTTTCACAAAATTGTGCATACAGATAAGAAGATTTCCACAATTCTTGGAAAAAGTTAGAAGCTTTTAGTTTTATACATAGAATTTTCCCATTTCAAGATTCTATGGTTTTTGCTGTGTTATCAACAAAAGGAATCACTTGACAGGTCTCCTGCATTTTGAAGAAGTGATGCTACAAAAGTCTAGAGGTATGATAAAGTTTTGATCTTTAATGGATTTTCTTTATATAGTTGACTTGTTAATCTAGCATATTGGCTATACATTATTTGATGGAGTTTCTTGGCAATTCTGAGTTTTGGAGTTCTTTGAAATGGTTAATCTGTCAATCTGCTGGATATTTATTTGGATTAGAGGATTTAAATTTGATCAGTTCAGTTTATTTCATTTTAAACATAGAACTATTACACTTTTGAAATTATGAGCTCAAAATTTAGTATTATCTTTCTAGGATTGTAGTGTTATTTTACATATATATCTATACTCCGTGTATAAAGTATTAAGTTGTTGATCCCGACATGTTTGGGACTGAGGCGTAGTTGTTGTATGTTGAAAATATTAGGTTCAGTTGAACTCGTTGACTATATGCTACATCCGTTGCTGGTCTTGTCAGTGTTGCTTTCTACCTAACTCTGCTGATTCATTTGCTTTGTCTTTATGATTGAATGTGTGATAGTGTGAGTTCTTCTCTAAAATTTTCAATATTTGTATCAGTATAGGTTGGATAACAGATCAAGGTTCAACTTTGGGTTATTGAGAGTTTTCGTAATGTCTGGAGTATATGACTCAAGAACTGGTCTAATTCTGATTTGGATAGTTATCTTGTTGGCTTCCGCGATGATGGTTTGTCCTGCAGAAGGATTGAATGCTGAAGGAATGTACCTGCTTGAGTTGAAAAAGAATTTAAACGATGAGTTTAACAATCTTGAAAATTGGAATCCTAGTGATGAGACGCCATGTAGATGGAAAGGTGTAAATTGCACTTCTGATTATAATCCAGTTGTGCAATCTCTTGATTTGAGTTTTATGAATCTTTCAGGCACTTTGAGTTCTAGCATTGGTGGTCTCGTAAGTTTAACCATACTTGACTTGTCTTTCAATGGATTCACGGGAGAAATTCCGAAAGAAATAGGGAACTGCTCGAAAATGCAGAGTCTTCAGCTTCATGATAATGAATTTTATGGGCAGATTCCTGATGAATTGTATAACCTTTCTCATTTGAAAGACTTGAATTTGTTCAATAACATGATATCTGGTCCTATATCAGAGGAGTTTGGGAGACTTTCTTCTTTAGTTTCTTTTGTTGCATACACCAATAATCTCACTGGTTCACTCCCTCGATCACTCGGGAAACTAAAAAAGTTGGAAACATTTCGAGTGGGGCAGAATCCGCTTTCTGGAACCTTACCTGCTGAGATTGGTGATTGCAAGAGCTTACAAGTTCTTGGTCTTGCACAAAACAATATAGGAGGAAATATACCCAAAGAGATCGGTATGCTTAGAAGATTGAAACAACTTGTACTTTGGGACAATCAACTCTCGGGCTATATCCCGAAGGAACTTGGAAACTGTACAAAACTTGAACTGCTTGCTTTATACCAGAACAACCTGGTTGGAGAAATTCCTGCTGCAATAGGTAAGCTCAAATCTCTCAAGAGGTTATACCTATACCGGAATGGATTAAACGGTACAATTCCAAGGG